CGTCAACATACCTGCACTGCTCTTGCACCTGGTGTGAAGTATTTACCTTGAATACCATCTGGTTCCAATGAAATGCATCTACAATGTACTTATTTTCGGGATTCTGTTCATAACTTGAATGAACAACACTTAATAGAAAATAAAGATGTTATCCTAAGAAAATGAGATAATTGTACAATTTATGGTTTTTTTTTAAATTCTAGGCTTAAATTATAAATGAAAATTTATATAAACCAATTTAATGAAATGATGTCCATAAACTACACCCGTTGATTTATATCATTTGTATAATGTTTATATTTTGTTTGTATAATTTAGTCTTTAAAAAACTTTTTAAAAATACTGCGTTTATGGTACATGAACTTTCGGATCATCGGTTTTTCTGTGTAAAACAAAAAATAATTCTCGGATAAATTTTATTGAACAAAGAATAGGGTGAAATAATTCTAACATTCTAAAAAACAAAATTCACCTGGCGTTATTTTTTCTCGCTATTAAAATCATGTATTAAAGAAAGCAAAACAGATTGTCTGGTTCCGCCGTGATTACGCAAGACGAGTAAAAACAAATTTAATTTATAGTATTTACATGTGTAGTATATAGTATTTCATTCAATACATGACTATATTTTTAAGAAGTCACTGTTATTTGTTGCTTTTTTAATCGGATCTTGTTTTTCTCACTTTTAATCGGCTATGAACCTCCACCACCACCCCCCGGCGAATATGCCTCATACAGGATTAAGACTATCATAATTTACATGGTTTTAATTAATTTGCCGATATAGACCTATATTAAATAAGGGTTATTTTAATAACAGTTAACATAAAGTCTAATAGCAATAATTTATAATTATTTACTCCGAAAAGTTTTATTTATTTATTTTGTGTTCTTATGTATTTTTAACAAAAGAGGATGTAATCATTCAATGTTTGCTAATTTATACGAAGTTTTGAGTATCTGATATATAAATGATAAACAATAGAATGTTAAACGACAGTGATTTTCACCGTTTCCTGTCTAAATCAGAACCCCTGTTTCGTATGGTCAGTTCCTTCGAACTCGTATGAAATCCTGTTACGTAAATTTATTTGAAACTCATAGCAAGTCCTCCTGAACAGATTCCAGACATCTGCAGATTCTGTGGCAAAATCTTTCTAGATATATTTATGCACATCACCTGTTCTTGCTCGCTGACATCGGATTTACGTAATGGCTGGTGGGATGATATTTCCAATAATTTTGATGTCCACCTCTCTGCAGAAATTTGTGCAAGGACAGATGACGAGATATTTCTTTTTCTTCTTGGAAGTAATTCTGTTCATTTACTATCTGGAAAAGATCTTCGGCAGCTTAATGTGACCAACTTTCGATAGATACGAAATGTTGCCACGTGTTACAACCGAGCCCTCCAATTCTATCCATAGGTGCTAATTGGTCATCAAAATCAAAGTACCTTAAGTACTGAAAGGGTATTTTTCCAGTTAAATATTGTATGTGTTGTTTTCTTTTCTACATAGAAAAAAGCGAATTCTTACAGATTATATAGAAAAACGGAAGACCTTTTTGTTGCCATGGCAACAAGAGTCTAGTTATTATTATTTTTCTTCCTGGGTACTTTTTTGTCCGTGAGTGATCTCCGAAACTACACATCCGATTGAGGTGAAACCTTTTTAGGGTTACTAGGAATGTTATGTAGATTTGCGGAACGAAGGTCATTTTGCGCGCACGTGCATGCACGTGCGTGCGCGTGCAATGCGTAAAATGACCAATATACTTGATATAGCTGTAACTTTTATATTTTTTGATGAAATGCTTTGAAACTCAGAATGTAAGGATATATTAATAGTGTAGACAAGATGACATGGTCAGAATGCACATGCATGCACGTGCGCGCATGCGCATTGATTGAAATAACCAATACAATTGATATAGACTTAACTTGTACATTTTTTGATGAATTGCTTTGAAACTCAGAATATAAATATATATTAGAAGTGTAGACAAGAAAACTTGATCAGCGCACACATGCATGCACGTGCGTGCACGTGCGCGCGCGTGCAATGGGTAAAATGACAGATATACCTGATACAGCCATAACTTTCATATCTTTTGATGGAATGCTTTGATACTCAGGATGTCAGGATATATTAAAAGTGTAGACAAGATGACATGGTCAGAATGCACATGCAGGAACGTGTGCGCATGCGCATTGATTGAAATAACCAATACAATTGATATAGACTTAACTTGTACATTCTTTGATGAAATGCTTTGAAACTCAGAATATAAATATATATTAGAAGTGTAGACAAGAAGACTTGATCAGCGCACACATGCATGCACGTGCGCGCGCGTGCAATGGGTAAAATGACAGATATACCTGATATAGCCATAAGTTTCATATCTTTTGATGAAATGCTTTGATACTCAGGATGTAAGGATATACTAAAAGTGTAGACAAGATGACATGGTCAGAATGCACATGCATGCACGTGTGCGCATGCGCAATGATTGAAATAACCAACACAAATTATATAGACTTTACTTGTACATTTTTTGATGAATTGCTTTGAAGCTCAGAATATAAATATATATTAGAAGTGTACACAAGATGACATGGTCAGCGCACACATGCATGCACGTGCGTACGCGTGCAATGAGTAAAATTACCAATATACTTGATATAACCATAACTTTTACATTTTTGATGTAATGCTTTGATACTCAGATAATATAGGCATATTATAAATGTAGACAAGACGACATTGTCAATATGCACTTGCATGCACGTGCGCGCGCATGCAATGCTAAATTGACCAGTATACTTGATATAGCTGCAACTTTTATACTTTTTGATGAAATGCTTTGATACTCAAAATATGTAAATATATTAATAGTGTTGACAAGATGAACCGGTCATCATGAACATGCATGCACGTGCGCGCGCTTGCAATGCGTAAAATGACTTAATATAGCCAATTTTTTTATCTTTTGATGAAATTTGAATATAAAGATCTATTAAAAGTATAGACAAGTTGACATGGTCATTTTGTACATGCATGCCCGTGCGCGCGCAAGATGCGTAAAAAACCCAATTATACTTGATTGCCTTATTTAATGAAGCTTACAGGGAATAAGACACCAAAAGGAAGTTGGGGAGCGTTTGGGGAACATCTGTAACGGTCCCCGTTACAATTAATACTAGTTTTGTATTAAGATAAAGAGTAGGGAGGGCAGTTGGTGAATATGGCCTGTATTTGTATAACTTCTTTATATTAAAATAACAAATGCGAGCCTTCAAACTATGTCATTATTTTCTCTTTCAGATTATGACAAATTCTTCGTTAAAGGTAAAAAATTGTCTACATAAAACTCAAAATAAAATTGTCTTGGTCTCAAAAAATGTGAAAGATATGGGTCTATTTTGCGAGATCAAAGGAGATATAAACAAAATAACGAAACCATCGAAATTTGGACCCTGTCGATTTTATGACCTTCGACCATATTACAGTCCTGAAATATGAAAATATTACACAGGTCTGTGTGAGCTGTTAGCATGACACAAGCACTCAGATTTACACGTCCATTTAGTACAAGGATACCCTGGCATATCTGAGTATTGTAATCTACAAGAAATGGCACTGTAAAAGAAGCTGCAAACCTTAACATATATGTGATGTGTTTTCTGTCATTTTCTTTATGTGCACTTTGTTAAAATGGTTTACAAAAGGATGAATTTATTAAGTATTGTATAATGCACAATTTCTGCGGCTCAAAATGTTTTTGGCTTTTGAAACTTGTAAGATAGCATTCTCGGTTCAGCCTTCATAAGCTTTTTGTAATTCCATTTTAACTGCAACATCAGAGATATTTTTCTATTTTGTTTTTGTTGGTTTTGACAGTTCAACAAAATTCCTAACAAGTTCAATCTTGTTTGAATTGGATTTGTTTACTTGTTCATAGTAGCTACTAAAGCTGTGTGATAATTCTAAGCAACTATTAATTATTATCATTATAATTTTTTTTCTCTTTTTTTGAATTTTTTTTTTTCAAATTTCATTCTATATTAAGCATTGTGGGGATGGGTAGGGCATCAAATACAGGTAATTACAGAGATGAGTCCTATAGGATTCACATTTGTCTCGGTATAGAAAGAGATGAGTCCTATAGGATTCACATTTGTCTCGGTATAGAAAGAGATGAGTCCTATAGGATTCACATTTGTCTCGGTATAGAAAGAGATGAGTCCTATAGGATTCACATTTGTCTCAGTATAGAAAGAGATGAGTCCTATAGGATTCACATTTGTCTCGGTATAGAAAGAGATGAGTCCTATAGGATTCACATTTGTCTCGGTATAGAAAGAGATGAGTCCTATAGGATTCACATTTGTCTCGGTATAGAAGTGATCAGGAAGAAGATTTATGAAGAAGTTGATGAAGTTTTCTCTTCCTCGTGACTCAGGCTTCATGTCAAACTTACATGTAGCATTCGACACATATTTAACATAATAAACATGTACCATCAAAATTTCAAGTAAATGCTACTTTATTGCTGTACTAACCAAATAAGTTTTTAATTATCATTAAAAACACAATAAAACTTTGACTCATATATAACATGAAGTTTATACATGGTGATAATTTCTGACTTCTAAATCTTTTTTAGGCTTTCATCAAAATTTGTTTATTGATGTTTTTATTAATTTAAGAAATTCAAATGATAACCATCTGGTCTTTGGATTCAAACATGATACTTGTATGTAGAGATTTTATAAAATACACACAATCTGTTTTTGATATTTTTAAGTTTTACTTTCTTATTTTAAAATAGGAATTTACATCTAATACGAGTGAAAGTCAGACAAAGTTATAATTTCAGAAAAATTTGGAAGGATTCTACTAGAACATTGAAAGAAATGTTATAATTATAATTTTTAAACATGTAAAATTGTTTCCATGTTAATTGTAATGACATAATGAGAGAAGTAACCCTACCCGGCATGTTCCATCTTTCCCCACAGAAGCAATGTATCTCCCACTTGGAGAAAACGACAGAAAGTACACCTCATCTGTGTGGCCAGCTACTTCCTGTGAGAGCTCAGTGGGGGCATGGTACAGGAGACGCTTGTACTCCCTCTTCCAGCTGCCCTTACCTTGGGCAAGGGAGACATTCTTCTTTATAATCCCTTTCACCAAATCTCGCCACAAGACTTCATCACTGGCCACTCTGTTCCATTGCTGAAATGTAGAAATTTTGTGTATATACATGTACAATCAGAAACAGTCTGATTTAAAAGGTATTCAAACCACTCTACATTCATTAATTCTAGCTAGAGTTCAAAGAACTAAATGTATTTCAGCCACCATCACCTGATGCATGATGTGCCCTTTTGGTTGCACTGTCTGTCATTTGAGACTCAAATGACTGACTCCAGAATGAATGAATGATGGGGATTAATCATTATTATCAAGATCCAGGTGAAAAAAAGTTAATGTGACTGCCCTAGAAAATTCAAGACAGTGGCAAGGTGTACCTTCTGATTAGGTAGGGAGCAATTATTTTAATTCTTAATTTCTTTTTTTTAATTGTGATAATGAAAAATCTGATGTTTATAATTGTCTTTGGGCTGGCTGCTGTGATGGTTATTTTGGCATGGACATCTACCAATGACATTTATCTAGTCTCTCATCTAGAAAACACAGGTCACATGGACATCTCCCAATCACATCTATCTAGTCTCTCATCTAGAGAACATAGGTCACATGGACATCTACCAATCACATCTATCTAGTCTCTCATCTAGAAAACATAGGTCACATGGACATCTACCAATCACATCTATCTAGTCTATCATCTAGAAAACACAGTCACATGGACATCTACCAATCACATCTATCTAGTCTCTCATCTAGAAAACATAGGTCACATGGACATCTACCAATCACATCTATCTAGTCTATCATCTAGAAAACACAGTCACATGGACATCTACCAATCACATCTATCTAGTCTATCATCTAGAAAACACAGTCACATGGACATCTCCCAATCACATCTATCTAGTCTCTCATCTAGAAAACATAGGTCACATGGACATCTCCCAATCACATCTATCTAGTCTCTCATCTAGAGAACATAGGTCACATGGACATCTACCAATCACATCTATCTAGTCTCTCATCTAGAGAACATAGGTCACATGGACATCTACCAATCACATCTATCTAGTCTCTCATCTAGAAAACATAGGTCACATGGACATCTACCAATCACATCTATCTAGTCTCTCATCTAGAAAACATAGGTCACATGGACATCTACCAATCACATCCATCTAGTCTCTCATCTAGAAAACATAGGTCACATGGACATCTACCAATCACATCTATCTAGTCTCTCATCTAGAAAACATAGGTCACATGGACATCTACCAATCACATCTATCTAGTCTCTCATCTAGAAAACATAGCTCACATGGACATCTACCAATCACATCTATCTAGTCTCTCATCTAGAAAACACAGGTCACATGGACATCTCCCAATCACATCTATCTAGTCTCTCATCTAGAAAACATAGCTCACATGGACATCTACCAATCACATCCATCTAGTCTCTCATCTAGAAAACATAGGTCACATGGACATCTCCCAGTGACATCTATCTAGTCTCTCATCTAGAAAACACAGGTCACATGGACATCTCCCAATCACATCTATCTAGTCTCTCATCTAGAAAACATAGGTCACATGGACATCTCCCAATCACATCTATCTAGTCTCTCATCTAGAAAACATAGGTCACATGGACATCTACCAATCACATCTATCTAGTCTCTCATCTAGAAAACATAGGTCACATGGACATCTACCAATCACATCTATCTAGTCTCTCATCTAGAAAACATAGGTCACATGGACATCTACCAATCACATCTATCTAGTCTCTCATCTAGAAAACATAGGTCACATGGACATCTCCCAGTGACATCTATCTAGTCTCTCATCTAGAAAACATAGGTCATATGGACATCTACCAATCACATCTATCTAGTCTCTCATCTAGAAAACATAGGTCACATGGACATCTACCAATCACATCTATCTAGTCTCTCATCTAGAAAACATAGGTCACATGGACATCTACCAATCACATCTATCTAGTCTCTCATCTAGAAAACATAGGTCACATGGACATCTCCCAATCACATCTATCTAGTCTCTCATCTAGAAAACATAGGTCACATGGACATCTACCAATCACATCTATCTAGTCTCTCATCTAGAAAACATAGGCCACATGGACATCTCCCAATCACATCTATCTAGTCTCTCATCTAGAAAACACAGGTCACATGGACATCTACCAATCACATCTATCTAGTCTCTCATCTAGAAAACATAGGTCACATGGACATCTCCCAGTGACATCTATCTAGTCTCTCATCTAGAAAACATAGGTCATATGGACATCTACCAATCACATCTATCTAGTCTCTCATCTAGAAAACATAGGTCACATGGACATCTACCAATCACATCTATCTAGTCTCTCATCTAGAAAACATAGGTCACATGGACATCTACCAATCACATCTATCTAGTCTCTCATCTAGAAAACATAGGTCACATGGACATCTCCCAATCACATCTATCTAGTCTCTCATCTAGAAAACATAGGTCACATGGACATCTCCCAATCACATCTATCTAGTCTCTCATCTAGAAAACATAGGTCATATGGACATCTACCAATCACATCTATCTAGTCTCTCATCTAGAAAACATAGGTCACATGGACATCTCCCAATCACATCTATCTAGTCTCTCATCTAGAAAACATAGGTCACATGGACATCTACCAATCACATCTATCTAGTCTCTCATCTAGAAAACACAGGTCACATGGACATCTACCAATTACATCTATCTAGTCTCTCATCTAGAAAACATAGGTCACATGGACATCTCCCAATCACATCTATCTAGTCTCTCATCTAGAAAACATAGGTCACATGGACATCTACCAATCACATCTATCTAGTCTCTCATCTAGAAAACATAGGTCACATGGACATCTCCCAATCACATCTATCTAGTCTCTCATCTAGAAAACATAGGTCACATGGACATCTCCCAATCACATCTATCTAGTCTCTCATCTAGAAAACATAGGTCATATGGACATCTACCAATCACATCTATCTAGTCTCTCATCTAGAAAACATAGGTCACATGGACATCTACCAATTACATCTATCTAGTCTCTCATCTAGAAAACATAGGTCACATGGACATCTACCAATCAAATCTATCTAGTCTCTCATCAAGAAAACATAGGTCATATGGACATCTACCAATCACATCTATCTAGTCTCTCATCTAGAAAACATAGGTCACATGGACATCTACCAATCACATCTATCTAGTCTCTCATCTAGAAAACATAGGTCACATGGACATCTACCAATCACATCTATCTAGTCTCTCATCTAGAAAACATAGGTCACATGGACATCTACCAATCACATCCATCTAGTCTCTCATCTAGAAAACATAGGTCACATGGACATCTCCCAGTGACATCTATCTAGTCTCTCATCTAGAAAACACAGGTCACATGGGCATCTCCCAATCACATCTATCTAGTCTCTCATCTAGAAAACATAGGTCATATGGACATCTACCAATCACATCTATCTAGTCTCTCATCTAGAAAACATAGGTCACATGGACATCTACCAATTACATCTATCTAGTCTCTCATCTAGAAAACATAGGTCACATGGACATCTACCAATCAAATCTATCTAGTCTCTCATCAAGAAAACATAGGTCATATGGACATCTACCAATCACATCTATCTAGTCTCTCATCTAGAGAACATAGGTCACATGGACATCTACCAATCACATCTATCTAGTCTCTCATCTAGAAAACATAGGTCACATGGACATCTACCAATCACATCTACCTAGTCTCTCATCTAGAAAACATAGGTCACATGGACATCTACCAATCACATCCATCTAGTCTCTCATCTAGAAAACATAGGTCACATGGACATCTCCCAGTGACATCTATCTAGTCTCTCATCTAGAAAACACAGGTCACATGGGCATCTCCCAATCACATCTATCTAGTCTCTCATCTAGAAAACATAGGTCACATGGACATCTCCCAATCACATCTATCTAGTCTCTCATCTAGAAAACATAGGTCACATGGACATCTACCAATCACATCCATCTAGTCTCTCATCTAGAAAACATAGGTCACATGGACATCTCCCAGTGACATCTATCTAGTCTCTCATCTAGAAAACACAGGTCACATGGACATCTCCCAATCACATCTATCTAGTCTCTCATCTAGAAAACATAGGTCACATGGACATCTCCCAATCACATCTATCTAGTCTCTCATCTAGAAAACACAGGTCATATGGACATCTCCCAATCACATCTATCTAGTCTCTCATCTAGAAAACATAGGTCACATGGACATCTACCAATCACATCTATCTAGTCTCTCATCTAGAAAACATAGGTCACATGGACATCTCCCAATCACATCTATCTAGTCTCTCATCTAGAAAACATAGGTCATATGGACATCTACCAATCACATCTATCTAGTCTCTCATCTAGAAAACATAGGTCACATGGACATCTACCAATTACATCTATCTAGTCTCTCATCTAGAAAACATAGGTCACATGGACATCTACCAATCACATCTATCTAGTCTCTCATCAAGAAAACATAGGTCATATGGACATCTACCAATCACATCTATCTAGTCTCTCATCTAGAAAACATAGGTCACATGGACATCTACCAATCACATCTATCTAGTCTCTCATCTAGAAAACATAGGTCACATGGACATCTACCAATCACATCTATCTAGTCTCTCATCTAGAAAACATAGGTCACATGGACATCTCCCAGTGACATCTATCTAATCTCTCATCTAGAGAACACAGGTCACATGGACATCTCCCAATCACATCTATCTAGTCTCTCATCAAGAAAACATAGGTCATATGGACATCTACCAATCACATCTATCTAGTCTCTCATCTAGAAAACATAGGTCACATGGACATCTACCAATCACATCCATCTAGTCTCTCATCTAGAAAACATAGGTCATATGGACATCTACCAATCACATCTATCTAGTCTCTCATCTAGAAAACATAGGTCACATGGACATCTCCCAATCACATCC